TACGAGGAGAGGCTGAAATCTCTCAAATTGTTTTCTCTTAAAAAAAAGAAAAGTTAGAGGGAATCTGATTGAGGTGGTTAAGATTGTAAATGGAATTGATAGTGTTAATGCATCATCTTTTTTCATATTTAACAGTGAGAATAGTAGGATTAGGGGACACAAGTATAAATTTTGGCAAAGTAGGAGTCATCTTCAGCAAAGACAGTTTAATTTTTCTAACAGAGTGGTTGGCCTTTGGAATGGCCTGCCTTCAAATGTTGTAGAGGCAGTAAATTTAAGTGTGTTTAAGAAAAAGCAATATAAGTATATAAACTATAAGGGCTGGCTTTAAGATTCTTTTTTAAATTTATTTTAATGTAGTTTAGAGGATGGAACAACCAAAATGGACCAATAGGTCCCATGTTGTCCCAAAACTTTATATTATGTTAAAATGATGTTTTATTTGCTGCAGGCTCTGGACTATGGAGAGCCACCATTGAATTCTACCGTCAATGTTAAAATTGAAGTGAATGACGTGAATGATGTGAAACCAAAGTTTTTTACTGATCCTTATCTGGCTCAAGTTCCTGAAAATTTAGACCCGGGTTATAAAGTAAGACTTCTTTAATTTATTATTTGTTGTCTGAAGTATTAAAATCAATTGTACAGAATTGATATCAACATAATTTTGTTCTTTTGAATGTTTTTTTTTATTGTTGTTACAAGTACATTGGTTCAATATTTTGATGAGATTTCAGTATTGTTCATCTTTTAAGATAATTTTATGGATATGAGAAACAACTGTTTTCACAGATTAGCTGAAAATAAATATATATAATACATTAGTCATAGATTTATTGTTGGAAATAAATATATATTTATTATAGATTTATTGTTGGAAATAAATATATATTTATTATAGATTTATTGTTGGAAATAAATATATATTTATTATAGATTTATTGTTGGAAATAAATATATTTATTATTGATTTATTGTACACTACATTTTGTTAATTTTTGGTATCGTGAATTCTGAAGTACACAAAAGAAGTATATAACCGAAATATTTTGTTTCTTACCTTCACTAATACAGTGATTAATCTGGCTGATGAAAGAGCTATAAGAATATATCACAATAGTTTTGGAATACCGTATTTGATATAACTTATAAATGTGTCTTATAACTCTATAAATATAACTTTGAAAATCAGCCTTTGTCAAGGTTCTTACTTGCAGCTTCAAATTTACTTAGGTTCGGTATTTTATCAGCAGTACGTTTGTGAACTTACAATGCTAAAATCTAGGGTTCGATTTCCCATGGTGGACAGAGTAACGTAGTATAGGTTGTAACTTTAAAACAAACAACAAAAACATTTTCTGTTGTTAGCAGTTTTATGTTTGTTCGTTTTTCCATTTATCATTCTATGACATAGGCAGTGAAAAGTAATCTTGAATATTTCTTTTTATTGAAAAAACGTCTCTCCCTGGTACTTTACATCAAGTTTAATGGTTCAGAATGGTAATATTCAAGGTTCTATCCCCATTGTGTAGCTTTTTTGCTTAACAACAAAACAAACTTCATTTTAAAAAAAAAAGGAGACAGGTATTTGTTTTAAAAGCTGTAGAAATAACAGTGACAATAGAAGTTAAGGACCCGATAATATTTCAGTTTACAGATGACACAAATTCAATCTTAAGTGGTCCAGAAACTCTGTATTAGCTTCTCTGCATATGGACCGAACAGGATATCCAGGATCAATCTGGATTGAAGGTTGTAGCCTAAACCGAACCAGTTCAAAACTTACATAACAGTTGATATGGTTGGTGCAGCAAAACACTAGGATCGTACTATACAGATGATTGCTTATGTATATGTTAGCATCCATCACTAACATTTGGCTGATTAGATTACTGTAATTTTTGTATCATAACTGAAAACTGTCTAACAGTGTGCATGGGCTACTTTTTTTTAGAATTTTTGCCCAATAAGGTGGAGGAGGTAAAAACACATTCTTTGGGCATATGTCCACTTTTTTTTTTTATAGACTTTTTTGCTTTGAATTTAAAGACACAAGAAGTTTATCAGGTAAATGAATCAATTATTACCTTCTAGAAAGCAGAGTATGCAATTAGCATCTAATGAGGTTATTATGGACATAATAACAAAAGGAGAAGGAAAGAAAACATTATCTACCATTGTCCTTTATACAGTTATTGATTCCTTAACACAGATGAGGTTCAGGTTCATTCACACAACAGTTAATACAATAACATAGATGAGGTCCAGGTTTATTCACACAATAGTTAATACGATAACACAGATGAGGTTCGGGTTCATTCACACAATAGTTAATACGATAACATAGATGAGGTCCAGGTTTATTCACACAATAGTTAATACAATAACACAGATGAAGTTCAGGTTCATTCACACAATAGTTAATATGGTAACACAGATGAAGTTCGGGTTCATTCACACAACAGTTAATACAATAACACAGATGAGGTCCAGGTTTATTCACACAACAGTTAATACAATAACACAGATGAGGTCCAGGTTTATTCACACAACAGTTAATAATGGTAACATACACTAGGT